TGTGTGTGTGTGTTTCTCTGTGTGGGTGTATATCTGTGTCTCTGTATGTGTGTGTGTAGAGAGCGTGTCGTCAGCGGTGTGTGCGGACGGCTCAGTGTGTGTGTCCCTGCAGCGCCGTCTGCTGTCCGCTGAGCTGTACTGTCGTGTGTTCTCGGGTGTGTGTGTGTCCGCTGGGGGCGTGGCTCCGGCAGATCTGCCCTCCCTCCTGCTGCTGCTGGACCGCCTCCACCTGACGCCGTCGGCCAATCAGACGCAGCTCAGCCAGACGCCCATACACATGGTGAGCCAATCACATAACGACTCCCACTCTGCGACAGGATTGGCTGACAGCTCTCTCTCTCTGCTCTGATTGGCTACAGGGGGCTCATCTGGCTCTCATTGATTCGCTGATGTCACTGAGCGCCATGGAAACGGTTGCCCGGGTGAAGATGGCGAAGGAGACGGATCAGTTCGGCTCAGGAAAGAGCTGGGAAAACTCTCTGCTCTTCTGGATCAACAAGGTCTGGAGCAATGAGAGCCCGTACAGACTCATTACAGCATCATGCCTACAGTACAGCACATCCAAACATTCAGGAGTGACTATTCTGAACACTGAGGGGGATATTCTGAAGAATTTTTACTTGTAGGAAAAACAAATACTATGAGACTCAATGGATGTTGGTTTCTAACATTTTTCTAAATATTTTGTTTGTGTTTGATATTTAATAAGAGCTATTTTGGGTTGAAATCTCACTATAACTTTCACATAAATGTGTTTATTTTCCAACAAATGAAGGATTTTAATTGTTACAGAGTGAAAATTCTAAAATAATGATAATAATAACAATCAACCAGTTGAACAATAAAAGGCATGTTTAATTAATGAGTAAATCCTTTACTGAATAGTTATTATGACAATTTATCAACATTTTTCATTCAGGTGTGTGTTTTCAGAGCTTGTGAATGTTTAAGTTTGTGTTTGTTTGCTCCTTGTTTCTGTTTAGTTCTCTTTATGCCTCTATATAAGTTGAGTTTTGTTGATTATATTGTTTTTTTCAGATTTTATTTCACTTTTGGTGGCTGTATTTAATATAACTACGTTATGCAGTGTAATTTCTTAATGCAAATAAACTTTGCCCCCAGTTTGTATATATATAATTTAAATATGACATTAAATCTTAGCTGAGTATTTTCCCTCATACAGGTCAATCAGAAGCTGCGGGACAGTGCTGATGTGGAGGAGAATGTGAAGCCAAACACCTGCACAGACCTGCAGCCGGTGCAGCCCACGGTGAGCGAACACACACACACACACACACACACACACACACACTCCAGCTTCAGTGATGCTAACCACTCTCTTCCTCTGTGTGTGTGTGTGTGTGTGTGTGTGTGTCTCCTCTGTATCTGTGTGTGTGTGTGCGCAGTGTCCTCAGCGCTGGTACTGGAAGCTGGTCCCTGTGAGTATTCCTCCTCTACTAATACACACATCTCCTCGTTCAGTGTGTGTGTTCATCTGTGATAATAACACACTCATGCTCATGGTGTTTGACCTGCACGAGTGTTTAATTCAGCTGCGTGTGTGTGTGTGACAGAAGTGCTGTTCTCACTGACCCATCCATACACTAGTGCTCAAAAGCTCTGCTTTAACATGCTGTAAAGGGCTCCTGACATGCAAAGATCGCTTTAACCCCAAAGTTTAACCCCAGTAGAGTGTGTGTGTGTGTGTGTGTATCTCCAGCACCTCTAATGCTCAACAGTACTCAATTGTGTTCTAATCAGTCTTGATGAATGAAAGACTGTGATTGACATTCTCCCGCTGTACGTGTCATCAGAGGGGGCAAGCCCCGCCCACTAGTGCCCATCATCTCTCCATCTCATTAGCATAAGCAGCAGCCCTGAGTGAGAAGCAGCCGTCTGTGATTAATAATAGTATTCATTTAGAAGCAAACTTCTAAACGACAAGTGGCATTTCAGCCAATAGGAGTGAGGGGGCGGGGTTCTGTGTGTGTCATTCGATGTGGGATGTGTCAGTCCAGCCAATAGGAGTGAGGGGGCGGGGACTCATGTGTGTCGTTATGTGTGCTCAGCCAATAGCAGTGAGGGGCGTGTCTTGTGTGTGTGTGTGTGTCATGTGACTGTGTGTGTGACTCTGGCATTGACCGTGTGCTCTCTCTGCCGCACCGCACCAGCATGCCATCGCATTTTGTTTGAAGGAGTCTGGGAATAAACCTCCAGTGGTAACGTATCCGTCCGCCTCCTGTCTACACACACACACACACACACACATCAATACAATCTTACACATTCACATATACACACAACCACACACACAGATTCATACACACACACAGTGTGCCCTCTGCATGTCCTGATGTCTGTCCTGTGTGTGTGTGTGTGTGCAGGAATAACACACACTGCTTTGGTTTAGTTTAGTTTGTGGCTTTAATTGAGTTTTTCTTCCAGTTTTTTCATGGTTTGTTTCTCGCTGTTGCCTGCTGTGAGTCTGGATGACCAACACACACACACACACACACACACACACACACACACCTCACTGTCGTATTTCTCCCCAGTGTTGAGCTGCACACTGACATTCACTCAATGATCTGAGTCACTGAATCACTGAATGAATCTTTATATTCACTGATACTGAATGAATCACTGATTCAGAAAGTGAATCTGATTCGCTTCAGAGACGTGTGTGTGTGCTGCTGCTGCTGTTCCCCCTCCGTATAATTTAACAGTCTTTCTTTTTTCAATCCACACATTTAAATGCTCTTTTGAACCGTGTTCTTATTTCTGTGTGTGTGTGTGTGTGTGTGTGTGTGTGTGTGTTGCAGATCCGTTACAGGAAAGACAAGGTTCAGTCTAAGCAGAGTCCGGTGTTCTCTGTGGTGTCTGGAGTGAAGGATCTCTCCAGCGGCTGCGCCATCGCTGCTGCGCTTCACTTCTACTGCCCTCAGATACTGCCGCTGGAGGGTAAAACACACACACACACACACACACACACACAAACTCCTGCTGAAGACACACTAAAAGTATGCCTGCTATGTCAGTAATGGAGATTGCTGCTCTGTGTTGCAGACGTGTGCTTGAAGGACACCATGTGTGTAGCAGACAGTGTGTATAATCTCCAGCTGATCCGAGAGTTTTATAGAACTCACCTGAAGAGCTGCTGCCCCCTACAGCTGGAGGATTTACTGTACGCCCCGCCCATTCTGCAGGTCAGATATGCCCCACCCACACTACAGGTTAGATATGCCCTGCCCACCACACTGGTCAGCTATACCACGCCCACTCTGCAGGTCATATATGCCCCGCCCACTTTACAGGTCAGATATGCCCCACCCACTTTACAGGTCAGATATACCACACCCACTTTACAGGTCAGAAATAACACACCCACTTTACAGGTCAGATATACCACACCTACTTTACAGGTCAGATATGCCCCGCCCACTTTACAGGTCAGATATGCCCCGCCCACTTTACAGGTCAGATATGCCCCACCCACTTTACAGGTCAGATATACCACACCTACTTTACAGGTCAGATATACCACACCTACTTTACAGGTCAGATATACCACACCTACTTTACAGGTCAGATATGCCCCGCCCACTTTACAGGTCAGATATGCCCCACCCACTTTACAGGTCAGATATACCACACCTACTTTACAGGTCAGATATACCACACCTACTTTACAGGTCAGATATACCACACCTACTTTACAGGTCAGATATGCCCCGCCCACTTTACAGGTCAGATATGCCCCACCCACTTTACAGGTCAGATATACCACACCTACTTTACAGGTCAGAAATACCACACCCACTTTACAGGTCAGATATTCCCCACCCACTTACAAGTCAGATATACCACACCCACTTTACAGATCAGATATGCCACACCCACATCGCAGGTCACTCTATTCTGATTGGTCAGTCATGACATTCTGAGGTATGTTATTCCTAGATAACAGCTATTAACACAGACTCATTCAGAATCTGTGATGCATCAAAACTTGTTGGTTAGTGTATACTCCATTCAGCCCTTTTCCATTCTGTTAGCTTTGTGCTTGATTAAATAATTAATAAACTCTTATGGCTTAGAACAATGTTTGTCTAATTTTTATTCATTTATTAGCTGTGTAATAATTGACTCTCACTTTTGACTCCACAGGTGAACATTATGTGCTTCCTTTCTGAGCTGTTTGCCACATTCGAGGTGCAGAAACCAGATTTCGTCAAACCCATACACACACTGGACCTAACAGGTAGACAATAATACATGAGAGAGCGACAAACCCCACAGTAATCAGATCATACATCAGCTTCTGTTGCTTTGACCTGCAGATGCATCAGATCTGGTGGACTGCACTAGTCCCATCAACTGCAACAGGTAAAGCACTTTCCAGAACACTTGATCATGCTCGCTGTGTTCAGATGCATCATGGGATCTGGTGTTTTTCCTGCAGTGGCTCCCCATCTTTCCTCCTGAAGCAGTCTCTGCCTCAGTCCACCTCAGTGTCGGGTGAGAGCTCTCTGCATGCTGACTAACCTGTGGAAAGTGGTTTGGCATTGGGAGTTTTGTTTTCTCAGTTTGGAACATTTTGGATGTGTTATGTGATATTTGAGATGATAAGGACTGTTTTGTGTATGTAACTGAGCTTGTTATAATTATTTTTGTTGCTGTGTAGAAGGACGGGGATGGAGCAAAAAGCAAATAAGGTAATTGTGCTTCAGTTCAATAAAGTGTGTAGGAAATACAATTCTGACTTATTAGTCCAGGGGTCACCAAACTTGTTCCTGGAGGGCCGGTATCCTGAAGATTTTAGCTCCAACCCTAATCAAACACACCTGAACAAGCTAATCAAGGTCTTCCTAGACCCTGCAGGGACACCGGCCCTCCAGGACCGAGATTGGTGACCCCTGTATTAGTCGAAATGTTTTTGATATATTGAAAAATTCCTATACTTCTGAGAATAAAGCAAATTTGTCATGCCCTAGGAATCTTCAGTGATGTTCATGTTCTCTCTCTTAGCCGTCCTCTCTCGGCGGTGACCTTCAGCATCCCGTTTCCGCTGGACAGTGATGTTGATGTTGTCATGGGCAACCCTCTCTTCCGCTCTGTCAGCACGGACAGTCTCACTATGGTAACCAACCCTGACCCTTACACTCCTCCAGAGGATCTCAGTAAACTCATTGGTCATGCTCCTCTAGGAGAGCTGCCTACTATAGAAGAAGCATTACAGATCGTTCACACTGGCCGTGTGGTACACAACGAGCCGCGTCTGCGGCCAGAGGGGGCACCATCTGGCTTTTACCTCCACTCCCAAAATGAGGGTGGAGCCAAACTCAGCAGCTCTGCTCCCTGCCGGTCAGGGATTATGTATCGACCCATTGGAGGAGGGCCTGATAACAGCGGGAACCACAAACGGCAAGATGGAGGTTCAGAATGTGCCACGCCTGACTCTCCCAAAACCTCCAGCCCAGCCAACGGACCCAAGTCTGGCCGCATGACAAACTTTGCTGAGCGCAGAAAAATGATGCCTGAATCCCCAAGCAATTCCAGGTCCCAGGAGCGGGAACCTTTGTTCAGCCCTGCAGCAATGAGCCCTGTTGGGGCAATGGAGGCGCAGGAGCTGGGTGCACGTCTGGAGGAGAAGCGGAAAGCAATTGAAGCTCAAAAGAGGAGGATTGAGGCCATCTTTACCAAGCACAGGCAAAGGCTGGGCAAAACTGCCTTCCTTCAGCTCCAGAAGAAACAAGAGGGAGAGGTGGAGGAAGATGGACAGTCCATCTCTCTGGATGAACGACTCACACAAATGGAGCAGCAGCTTCAACAAGTGGAGGACAGAGAGAAGGAGGAGGAGAAAAGAAAGCAGGAAGAGGGGAAGAGAGAAAAGGATGGGGAGGAGAAGAAGAGTGATGTAGTAGCTCCACCAAAACTAGAGAAACAGGTGACCTTTTCTGTTGAGGCAAAGAAAGAGGAGGGGAAAGAGCCACCGTTGGGGGAATATAACGAGGCAGTAGCTAAGCTAAGCTCCACCCTGGAGACTCTGCAAAGAGACATGCAGCGCCTTACAGAACAGCAGCAAAGGCTCATGGGAAAGAAAACTTTGAGTTCTCCAAAAAACATCCCCTCAAGCAAGACCTCAGCATCCAGCAAGGCCTGGATTATTCCATCTGGTCCCAAATCCCCCGCTACACCACCTCATCTTTCTAGAGACTCCACTCGCATCATTTCACCCTCTGGCTCTCCATCACGCTCTGGACAACTTTCAGACACACCGAGATCCCCTAAAAGCTCTGCAGCATCCACCCCTCGTAGATCCCGTAGTTCTGCTCCCAAGAGTCCTAGGCGTCAACGACCCTCCCGCCCCACGGACCTTGGCTTCCAGCCTATCACACGTGTCCTAACACCGCCGCAGAATGTGGACACCCTTCCCCATTTGCGCAGAGTCTCTCCAAGCCAGTGTCAGGTGCAGACCAGCTCATCTCTGCGGCTCGGAGGTCCGTACACCCCACTGGACTCTTCACCCCAACCTGCCCCTGCTCAAGAGAACACATCAGAGTCAGGCTCCAGTGACCACAACACTCCAATCTTCAGTCTTGAGCTAGAGGCTGGACCTCCGTCTGCACTCCCAGCGGAGCTGTTAGGAGGAGCAGGCAGCTCTGGAGCTCCATCAGAGTGCTCGTTTGAAAGTGACTTGCTTTTGAGCAGTGCCCCCGTGAAAGACGAGACGGAGGGTGCCGGAACGATGGGAGATGACACCGATTTAGAGCAGGGTGCAGAAATATTCTCATCAGATTCCATGAGTGACCAGACTGAGAGTGAGAGCCGGCTGGGACTTGATGTGTTTTTTAAGGTGTGTGAAGGTCTGCATGCTCTTTGCTTGAGTTTAGTGTCTGTGGTGTTTGTAAAGTGTGTTTTTTTTGTTTGGGCCTGTAGGAGGAGGGTCTCTCGGAGGAGGAGATGGCCCAGAAAAGGGCCCTGCTGTTGGAACGACAGCAAAGACGAGCACAAGAGCTCAAGAGACGAGCAAGACAAGGGCAGGACCCTGAGAACAGGTAAGATCATCTGCACATTCAAATCTTCTCATATTGGACTTGCTTTATGGAAACTCTCATCTCTGTTTTCTCTTACAGTCAACAGGCTTCCTTGGAAGACCTGCGACCGCAAACTCCACTGCTATCACAGTCTCTGCCCACCTTTTACACCCCACCTCCTCATTTGAATGCAACGCCCCCAGGCACGCCCCAGCGCTGGGGAGCATTCACACGGGCGGAGTATGAACGGCGCCATCAGCTGAAGATAATGGCTGATCTAGGGAAGGTTCTCAAACAGAAACCAACAAAGCAAAGTGGCAAAAAGCAGCATGCAAACAAACCACATAACCACGAGCTCATTCACACACGCTCACCTGGGAAGAGCAGCACAGGTAACCATGCACATCACAAGTGTTTCAAGATGAAGAGAGTAACTTCTGGCATCACAAAACCCAATTGGTTTTTGTTTGTATGAGTGAAAAATTAGTTTGCATTTACCTTATTTCCTTAGCCAACCAGAAAGATGGCAGATCTCTACCAGCTGTAAAACCAGCAAGGTACTGTACTCTACACATGAGTCTAGTGTCTGTATTCTGTCTTCTATAAATGTCTCTGTATTTACTAAAAATGCCTAATCTCTCACTCAACGCAGTCGTTTAGAGTCACCCTCAAAGGTGATGTCATCAGGACTGCTGGCCAGTCAGAATGGAGAGAAAGACTGTGAACAAGCCTCCAACGCCTCCTCTCCAGCATCACTCCCAGAATACACAGGTAAAAGACAACATGGTGAATTTTTCTAAGTGAAGTTTAAGACAAATGTGACTAAACCACCTCTCTTTTTAGGTCCTAAATTGTTTAAGGAGCCCAGTTTTAAATCCAACAAGTTCATCATTCACAGTGCGCTCTCACGCTGCTGCCTTGCTGGCAAAGTCAACGAATCCCAGAAGAACAAGATCATCGAGGTGCGTCGCTGTTCAGTTCTCTCCACAGTCGTGACTCCTTCATGCACTTTTACAGTCTGTTTTCTCTCGCGTTTCTCTAGGAGATGGAGAAGAGCTCCGCCAGTCACTTTCTGATCCTCATGCGTGATTCCAACTGTCAGTTCCGTGCCATCTACACCCTAGACGGCCAGTCAGAGGAGCTGCACCGACTCTGCGGCGTTGGTCCACGGGTCATTTCCTCATCAGCTGTGGAAGCCATTTATAAATACAGTTCTGATAGGAAACAGTTCAATACACTTCCATCCCGCACTCTGAGCATGAGCGTCGACGCTTTCACTATCCCTGGCCAGCTCTGGAACACTAAGAAACATGGCACGCCCAAAAAAGTAGCCACTCCCAAATAGACTCAGACCACTTAACCCAGGGGTGTCCACACTCAGTCCTGGAGGGCCGGTGTCCTGCAAAGTTTAGTTCCAAGCCCAATCAGACACACCTGCGCTAGCTTATCAAGCTCTTACTAGGCTTTCTAGAAACATCCATGCAGGTGTGCTGAGGCAAGTTGGAGCTAAAATCTGCAGGACACCGGCCCTCCAGGACAGAGTTTAGACACCCCACACTTATTTAGATAAAACTCTCCAGCTAAAACAGTCCCTCCTACAAAGTACACGCCCAGGTTGACTCAGGTGCAACAAGTACAAACCCCTTCCCACCCTCAAAAGAAGACACACCCTAATAGACCCCGCCCACTTAAACAGACCACACTCACTTAGATAGGAGTCCCACCCACCATTTAACCACACCCAGACTGACTCTTCCCACTCAAATGATGCACATGCCCAGATAAACTCACCCCATCTAGATATAAACCACTGCCTCCAAGTTAAACCAGTGCTGCAAGTTAACCCCACCCACAAAAGTAGCCACACCCAAATAGACTCCACCCATTTTAACTGACCACACTAATTTAGTGAAAAAGAACTGCCCCACTCACAATGTAGCCACACCTAGACTGACTCCACCCACTCAAGATGATCTCTGCCCCCTTAGATAAGCCACTCCCTTCAAGAGGAACCAATGCTACAAGTATGAAGTAGACACACACAAATATTCCCCACCAACCCAAATTTACCACTCCCTCCCTCCCAGATAAACCACTCCCTCTGATATAAACCCCTCCCCCTCAAATCTTCCCACCCTACTCAAAGAAGCCCACAGTAAGTGCCATCCCTCTTATTAAACGTGTTACCAGCACCAGACACACAACACAAACTATCTCTACAACGAGGTGTGCTGAGCTGCCTATTTATGATCAGCCAGAAGGATCTGTTTTCTTACTCTGCATGATAGACGAACCTGGAGGTTTTCACACCATGAGAGACCACACGTGTCCTGTTTGCATGTGAACCTTCGGTTCAGGCCAAATGTTTGTGGGTTGGTCCACCAACTGAGCACTTGAAGCTTTTATCTCTGACTCTTATGGTCTATATTCTCTTCTCTTACCACAGCACACTTCTGCATCTCAGTCTCCCGGTACTGTAGTTTTAGTGGCGCAGGTTCACTATCTAGTCTCTGATTGGCTGGATAACTTTTGAGCTCCTGCTTTAAACACTTGGGCTGCGTCCGAAATCGCATACTTGCCGACTGTATATAATGTGAAGAACAGTATGTGAGCAAGTAGTACATCAGAATTCATAATATTTTAAAAAACATTAAGTGAGAAGTACCTGGATGACCTACAGGTGAGATTCTGTAGTGCACGTCCAATGAATGCTACACTATCCCATAATGCACTGCGAGAGAATTCATCAATGGTGTGCACCTGACGCATGTAGGTCATGTGATCATGGTGGATGTAGAATGTCAGAATTCCAGTCATACTATATAGAATGTACTTTTCCAATGGTCATGTGTTGAACTCAAATGTAGTACATACTCGAGTAGCAGGCGATTTGGGACGCAGCCTTGTTGTCTTCATGATTTCCATCATCCGTTGTGTTCCTCATGTGCTGAATGTGTGTAAATGACTCTGATGGACCTCCAGATTCTCCAGAGCCCGTGAGCTGCTGTCTGCTGAAGGAGGATCAGACGTCACAGTCCTGAGAGCTGATCCTGGATCAGTGTTACAAAGCCATTGAACTTCTATTATAGTCGTCCAGCTTTGTGTGCTGAATGTGTGTAGACCAGGGGCGTCCAAACTCAGTCCTGGAGGTCCGGTTTCCTGCAGATTGTAGCTCTAGCTTGCCTCATCACGCCTGCAGGATGTTTCTAGAAAGCCTAGTAAGAGATTGATTAGCTAGCCCAGGTGTGTCTGACTGGGCTTGGAACTAAACTTTGCAGGACTCCGGCCCTCCAGGACTGATTGTGGACACCCCTGGTGTTGACATTCCGTCATGTGTGTGTGTGTGAGTGTGTGTGTGAGTGAAAGGCTGGGATATTTTCTAATAAGTTTTGACATCATCATGGTGTGTGTTTTCCTGCTATACGGTTATGATGATGATGACTGTGTGTGTTGATGAACATGTCGGTCAATAAACTCATTTCTAACATTTCAACTTCTGTCTCTGACAATTCTGAGCTGTTCCTATTTAATATCCGTTACTTCAACCGTGTACCTGTGGGAATCCTGTCAGACGCTGTTCACACACTCTGAGCGTTTACACGGTTTTGTTTAATCCTCGCAGCGGTGATTAATTTGCCTGTTTAATGAGCAGATCGTGAGGAGAGATGATGAGGAACAGAAGGTCCTCCAGGGTCTTTGCTTCAGGCTCCTGAACCACAGCAGCTCCTCAATAGTCAGACCCTACTACAGCTAGATTATTCATATATAACCTTATAGCAAACACTATAGTCTTGTTTTAAAGAGTTTTTCCTTAAAACAAGTGAGAGAATCTGCCAAAGGGGTAAGCTTTGTCAAAAGGAGAAACAAGATTATCTGGCTTCCCCCATTGTCATTATTCTGCTTGTTTTAAAGTTAAACTCGCTTCATTTTGGCTCTGAAAACTGAAAAATGTTTTGCTTGTCCAGAAAATGCTTCTTGATTTAAGAATGTTTCTATATGTGGATTAGAAACAAGACAAAAACTCTTATGAAAATCATGTTATGTGGTGTAGAAGCTCAGATTACCTGCTCATGAATGCAGCTTCTTTTCTCACAGTCCTTCACCAAAGTACTTTAATAAATATTTGCATGTGTTAACTACTGGAACCGTTCAGTCCCTGGGGCTCTTGCCTGGGGTTCGAGGATCAGCTATAAATTCCTCTGTCTCCGGTATCTTACCCACACACACACACACCCGCTCCACCGTCTCCATCACTGCTCCTCCATCTTTAAATATGGTGCTCTCCAGATCCCAGCAGTTATCCGGCAGGTCCCTGGCCTCGGCCGTCACCCATTCTCGAGGGCCTGTAAGTTTCTCCAGCTTCGGAAATCAGTCGATGGTGGCCGGGGCTCTGAAGAGCGGCTCCGGAATGGGCTTCGGATCTGGAGCCAGTCTGGGCTTCGGGTCTGGAGCCAGTCTGGGCTTTGGTTCTGGCTCCGGAATGGGCTTCGGTTCTGGCTCCGGAATGGGCTTCGGTTCTGGCTCCGGATTAGGCTTTGGTTCTGGAGGTGGTTTAGGCTTTGGATCTGGTTTTGGAGCAGGTTTTGGTTCTCACCTGAGGACGGTTGGTGGCGGAGTCTCAAACGTATCCGGGAGCTCCATCAGTGCCTCCTTCAGGTAGGCATGGGCCGGTATAGGAGTTTTAACATTATGATAACCTTGGATAAAAATATCAGGGTGTTGTGATTACTGCTCTAAAATATGTTCGCTTAAATGTCTGAGTAAAAATACCCTCACTGAACACACACTTTAGGAAAGATTTTAAATATTTTGGAGCAGTATATTATTTTGAATAATAATTTAAATATATCATAGACTTCTGCTGTCTTCATTAGCTTCAAAAGCACAGATTTCTTTACATCTTGAAAAGGCATCTTTGGATATCTTTCTTTTCTGTGAATATAAAGTAAGGTCACAGTTGGTCTATAAGCAATGGTTCTCAAACTCGGTCCTGGAGGTCCGGTGTCCTGCAGATTTTAGCATCAACTTTCCTCAACACACCTGCAACGATGTTTCTAGAAAGCCTGGAAAGAGCTTGATTAGCTAGACCAGGTGTATCTGATTGGAGCTAAAATCTGCAGGACACCGGCCCTCCAGCACTGGAATTGAGACCCGCTGGTCTACAGGATGTTGGTGTGTAAGTGTTTTCAGATGTTTGCTGAATCATAGCCTGATCGTCATGCAAGAAACACTTTATAAACAGTACATTCACCATCGGAGTGGCATAACAGAAAATGCTATTAGTTTTAAAAGCTTGACTTTTCCAAACCGTGGTAAACCTTGAAACTGGTTCTCCTCCCACCCCTCCTTCAGGTCAGATAGAGGTTCGTTCGCCGGAGCCGTTTCCAACATCGTGAATGAGAAAAAGCAGCTGCAGACCCTGAACGACCGTCTGGCCTCGTACCTGGAGAAGGTGAAGCGTCTGGAGACGACCAACCACGAGCTGAACGAGAAGCTCCGCGCCTTCACTTCTAACCGAGTGCAGAGCAGCTTCGACCTGGAGCCGTACGAGCTGCAGATCCGGCCTCTGCGGGAGCAGGTGAGCGGCTCATTTACACACCTGCAGCCTGATTTAGATGATTAAGTTGATTTTGGCGATTATCATACACCAGAATAACGTTTAGTTATTTATTAATGCTTACAGCTCATATGATGATTCAAAGCGCTTTAATGGAGTCAATATTGAAGTTAAATATGTTCACTTTGGGGCGAAGCAGTGGCGCACTAGGTAGTGCTGTCGCCTCACAGCAAGAAGGTCGCTGGGTCGCTGGTTCACGCCTTGAATCAGTTGGCGTTTCTGTGTGGAGTTTGCATGTTCTCCCTGCCTTCGCGTGGGTTTCCTCAGGGTTATTGATTATAATAATGTCCATGTTCTGTCCTCCAGCTTCTGCTTCTCATTCAGGAGCACACCCGCATCGGGTTAGCCGTGGACAACGCCAAACTGGCTGCAGAAGACTTCAGGATGAAGTGAGTTTGCGTGATTCGTAATAATATGACCCTCTTAACGTCTAACTACATGAGTAGCTGCATTAGAGACAGATCGATAAGCGTATCACGGTCCACACCAGTGGATGATGGCGATGATGATGATACTATAGTCTCTGCAATACCTGATTCTGATTGGTCAATTATGAGATGTTATTCTCTGATGGCGGCAACTGATTAACTAACAACATGGAATAATATTGAGCTGCACGGTGGCGCACAGCAAGAAGGTCGCTGGTTCGAGCCTCGGCTGGGTCAGTTGGTGTTTCTGTGTGGAGTTTGCATGTTCTCCCTGTGTTGGCGTGGGTAAATTGGGTAGGCTAAACTGTGTAAATGAGTCTGTGTGGGTGTTTCCCTGTGATGGGTTGCAGCTGGAAGGGCATACGCTGCATAAAGCATTTGCTGGATAAGTTGGCAGTTCATTCCGCTGTGGCAACCCTAGATTAATAAAGGGACTAGGCCAAAAATGGAAATGAATGAATGGATGGGCTAATATCTGGATAATACGAATCGTCTTCACTGTTAATGAATATGGTTAGTAAATTATTAAAGCTCAAATCAGTGTTGTGTGTCTAACAGTTTAGTTTTGTTGCCAATCTAAAGTCAGGATAACATATATACAGCTAGTCGCTATTGCAGAGTAAAAGCATCAGTCGTTTACTACAGCTGCTGATGAACTTGTCAAACATTACTCCGTGATAACAACCCGCCGGGTGTACATTATCCCTTACTTTTTACTGAGTGTTCCCAGAGGAGTTGTTTGATTGTGTTGTCAATGCAGTGTCCTCTAGAACTAGCATTGTTAGCGCTGCAGTCATTACTGTGTGTTTTCCGCAGATTTGAGACGGAGCTGGCGATGGTTCAGTCAGTAGAGGGCGATATTGCAGGCCTGCGGAGCCTGAAGCAGGAGTACGACGCCACCAATGCAGCGCTGCAGACGGAGCTGACGGCCCTCGGGCAGGAGCGCAGCGCCATCAGAGACGCACACCAGCAGGTCAGCAGCGATTCACAGAACTGATGAGTCACTCCTGAACGATTCTTTACTTTGATTGAATCTTCTATGTGACTCTGGAATGAAGAGTGGTCTGCATGCACACATTGCACAGGAGATCAGATCGGTTCCAGTCTTCAGTCAGGGTTGAGTCTTCTGTTCATCATGTGAAGGACAGAAGCAGATCATGAGCAGATAAAGATTCAATCCGTTCGTCTCTCGATCCTCGGTTTGAGTCGTCTCTTTACAGTCAACTTTAGACGCGACTGACCTCTGACCTTTGTCCCCTGCTCCAGGAGATGGTGTCTCTGCGGGGTCAGATGGCGGGAACGGTGACGGTGGATGTGAAGGAGATCGAGAGCGCTGACCTGTCGCGGGTGATAGCCGAGATCCGCTCCGAGTACGAGACGGCCATCGAGAAGAATCGCAAAGAGGCGGAGCACTGGTACACCAAACAGGTACGCGCACACACACACACACACACACACACACACACACACACACACACACTTACTGTGTAAAGTTGATCCTTTTTGAATCAACAGATGGAGCAGAAGCAGGCGGAGACGGAGCTGATCACAGAGACCACGGTCAGCGGCAGCTCCGAGATCACCGACAGCAGAAAACAGACCATGAGCCTGCAGACACAGCTGGACGCCGCACTCATGCAGGTACACACACACACACACAAACACACACACACACACACACACACACACACACACACACACACACACTGAATGAACACATGGACTCACTGACAACACCACACACCAACATACACACACTGAACACACACACTGAATGAACACATGGACTCACTGAAAACACACACACACACACACACACACACGCACACACACACACACACTAAAAACACAAAACAACATACACACTCCGAACACACACACACACACACTGACCACATGCAGACTGAACACACGTAC